GAAAAGAAAAAAATACATCAACCTTATACTTAACAATTGAATATTAAAACAATTACCTATTAAATAATATTTAAGATTGTAAAATTTGCATTTTATAATAAGATTCATTCAATTGCAATTTACAAATAAAAAAAAATTTATTACATCAGCTAGATTTCTGATTTAGCAATATGTAACCATATACTTATATAATATAAACTTTTAAACATTAACTTTCCGATATCAAATTTTAACGCATCGAGTCCTATGTGCATTACTCGTGAACATACCTATAATGTTTCGAAAAGCCTGGTGAAATAGAAACGGTAAGTAACGGCGGAACAAATTTAGTTTCTGTCAAAGAAGAATTTATATAATTTCTCTAAATTAAGTAATTTTACGAATATTTATTCGAATGTTAACTCGTGACACACGTGAGACTCAATGTAAGGTTTTTTTTATGTTCGCATTGTAAGACCCAAAGTATTAAATACGAAATAAGAAATTTTTTTTGTAATTTGTCTTTTAGTGTAAAATTGTATGTTTCTAAAGGGTCATATAGCACCTCAGAATTATTTAAAAAATCTGCAAAGCTTCAACTGCACCAGGAGTCAAACTACCAATTAAATGTAAAGTAAAGAAGTTAAAAAGTAAAAATAAAAGTTGTTGATGTAATACGGCCCAGGCTGTATTTTAATTACATAAGATAAGTCCTACTTCACACGATCATTTCATAAACTAACCAATAAACCGTTCTAAGAATTTTGTAAAATTATGTTATTTATTTAATAATATGTTATTTTTTTTTATTAAGTAGATATTATCACTGAAAATTTTATTGTTTTATACTAAAACTACTATACATAAATACTTTGAACCGGAAGTAAAATATAATTTATCTTCAATACAATAAAAAATATTAATTCACCTACACCTGAGTAAATAACTACAACAAAATAAAATCAAAATAAAATATTCAAGTGTTGAATATTTAAATATTTCATAAAATAAGCGTATGTGTGTATGTAAGTATAAATGTATTATATAAAATTATAAAAATTATTGAAGGTAATATCGTAAATTTTTTTCTATTGTAAACGTTCACATTGTAATTTCTAAAATGTGCATACATATATATATATATATAAGTACATATTATATTTTGTTATACAGGTGCCATCATAATCAAAAAATTTACATATTTTGAAGTTTACAATTAATTTATTATTACAATCAAATATTATGAGTTAATTAATGAAGGGCGTTTTAATTGAAATGCCTGTGTTTTAAAATTTTATAAAACTGAAGAACTATTTGGAAATCAAAACACTACTACTTACTCAAACACCAGTAATGCAACAGAAACTGCAGCATTTTCTTTTAAATCACTGTGTATTACTATTGTGATATAACACATTTCCCTTTTTATTCAACGTTTATTGAAATTACTTAATTATATTACGTACAATAGTGATTTCATTTAAGAAAACTGCTATGTTATCATATAGACAGAATAAAATTTCAGTAATTTCAATAAATTATTTTTAAGCAGAATAAAAAAAATCATTGATTGGCTTAAAAATTTCATGAATTAATTAAGAATTTTTCTAAAAAAATTATTAAGTAATAGAAATTTTCATGATGTATTTGTGTAAATTCCCTAAGTATTATACATTAAGTAAAATCTCAATTCGTAATAAGAATTCCTCTATAAAAAAAGCTTTATTTTAAATTTCATAATGGAATTTCATGATTTTGTAATCAATTCTATTCGGAAATTTATTTATTAACAATTCTGAATTTTAATGTCCGATTTTGATAAATCTTAATTCGAAAAGGAATTGAAACCAATTTTAGGGTTGTGTTGGTTGATGATATGATATTACAAAATATTCCGGAGCAGTTTTGTAAATGGACTAATATTTTGTACTGATATCCTGTTCTACGAGTATATCATTAAAAACTAACCTGTTAATTTTGTATTGAAAACATGACGCTTATTTTATGTAAAATCAGTGCCATTTAAAAATGTTAGCCACCTATCGAAATAAATGTTTAACTATTGCTTTTGAGTTTGGATGCTGTTGTACCTAGTACCCTTAAATGACACCGTAAATTTAATTATAATAAAAAAGCACAATATTATTTTGAAAAAAAAATTCTCTACAAATTGAAACAAGCGCACATTTATTTCGCAAATACATTTTTTTTGTCATTCCATTTTCATTTTGGTTGAATTTCAAATTGATTGAAAACAAAGTTGTTCTGTCAGAATCGTGAAGAAGAAAAAATAATCGACCATATAAAGATGTAGCTTAAATATATGTACAAATGTGTATGTGAATAGAAAAAAGAAAATAAAACAAATAAGAAAATGACAAACCAAATTGATAAACAAAAATCAAGGAAATCAAACGAGATTTTTTTTCTTAATTTTATGTTACGGTCTTAAAATTTATATTATAACTTCTTGTTTATTTACTTAATATAAAAATAAAATAAATCTTTGATTGGATTAAAAGAATAATAAAAAATTTAAAATTAATTGGGGGTGGCATTTAAAAACATGATCATTTAAAACAAAACTCTAGCAAAAAATTAAAATTGAATAAATAAGATGAAAAAACAAAATTTTAAAAAAATTATTGCATTGCTTTTAAATTTATTTATTTTTCATAAATTTCCGGTTTCAAACAATTATTTTATATCTAAAATTTTAAAATTGTCAGCAGGATTCGAAAAATTATTCAAAATTCTGGAATTTGTTTATTGAGCAAAGATTTTTTCCGGTTTCAAACAATTATTTTATATCTAAAATTTTAAAATTGTCAGCAGGATTCGAAAAATTATTCAAAATTCTGGAATTTGTTTATTGAGCAATATAAATATTCACGCTCTTTTTACACATACATGCATAAATAGTGATTTAGAGTGACCCGAACAATGCAAAATATCACTTGTTTTAATTTTGATACTTTTATGTTCATATACATAATAAGATGCTGCATCATATTCTCTTAAACTGTTACCTATACAATTTAAATTTTTTTATATATTGTTAGTTACACTTAAAGAAAATTGATTTGATAAATTTATCTGTGAACAACAGTACAATATATAAATGTATAACACTTAACGTGATGGCGAATTATCCGACGGTATTGAAGTTTTTTGTAAGTTATTTTGCTAATTACAAAATTTTTGAATAGCATCCCATCACTGAGGAGAACGCATCTACACAATATATAGAATATTTCTTTATAATTTTTATTTTATCATTTAAATACAAATCATAAATAGAAAGGCCCGAAATTTTAAAAATGAAGCTCTGAACTCAATTTTTTTTATGTAAGTACAAATTTGCCTTAGAACTTGCATTATTATTCGCAAAATATTAATTGAAACCGTCTCTTTTCAAAACAAAATATTTTTCTAGTCATTAAGAATTGTGATGTAATTGCACATATACAGTGACTTCGGTTCACACACAATTTATCAATCAACTTACCACAGCTCAAATGCTTAATAGAAAATTAAATAAAAATTGAAAAACCACAATTTTATTTAACCTCTTTAATATTGATATTTGCCTTAATTTTTTTACAAGAATTTTTTCTCATATTGCAATTTAGTTCCTGTTAACAATTTATTTATTTTTTTTTTTGACTATTTATGGGAAAAGACAAAATTCATAATACCAAAAAAAAACGATTAATAGCAAATTCATTGAATTACTAACTATAGTAAATTTTTTTATTTTTTTTTTAATAATCGTTAGTATCAAAGTCATTTTTAAATTCAATTAATATTTTTTGAATTTTGATATCATGTTTGAGTTTCTTTTCTCTCTCTTTCACCCTCCTCATTATACTATAAGATTTCAACCAAGTATTTCAACCATATATGTGAATATAACATACGTCAAACCATTTCCAAAAAATATATGCAAAAACACACAAAGAAAAAAACAACAGAAATAAAAGTTTATAATATCGAAAAAAAAAATTATGTGAATTGAATACACAAAATAAAAATAAGAAGAAAAAAAAAACAAAACGAATTTCAAAACTTGTAGCAACGCTTAAAAATAGAAAGATGACTGAAAAAGGATTTTTGAACTCTAAAAAAGAGAAACTTTAACCAGAAAAAAAATTATGAACGAAAAAACCTTCCAAATCGAATACTAGTTAATATTTATAGATTTTTATTGAAAATATTCAAAAGTTAACAAGTTATTTTTTGTTATTTGTTTTTTTTGCTAATTTTTAACTATCTAAGCTATCTGTAGCTAGTTTTACCACTTGTCTTCTCAAAACTTTTTAAAAATCACAAAAAATAAAAAAAAAAATTTACTAATCATTAATTTATGTTTATGACCTGGCCATTCACGGCACGTGTTTCAAATTATTGTATTTTTTATATTAAAATATTGTTAAAACATCGAAATTATCACAATACAATAACATAGGAATAACAATAGCAGCAACCAACAACAACTTCCCAAAAATAATAATATTCGATTTTTAAAAAGCTTTAAAATTTATAGGTAAAATTATTTTAAACAAAAATGTTTTTATTTTTTTGCCTTTTTGTTCTTTAGACAGCGATAGGAAAGAAAAAACTAGATATTCTTTTATTGTTTTTCTTATTTTTTTTATTTCGTCATTTTATGTAAGACCAATGGCGCATATTAATTACATATACGAATTGAATAAGTTATGAGTAAAATAATTTAATTAATACTGGAGTCTAGCTTTTATATACACTTAGAATTGATTTATTAAGAAGATTTCGACAAAGATCTTTAAAACTTGGTCTTTTATTTCGGGTGTCAAATAATATTGCAATTGATTTCGTGTACTAAACTGTTATAAACATTTACATTTATAGATTCAAAATTCAAATGTATTTAATCGTCCAAATATTGATTTACTTTAAAAAATATTTTAAAAACAATATCAAATTTAAAATTACTAAAATCTAATTGGATTTCTTATCTTTTTTTTATTGTCTATTTTTAGCGTTACATTGAAAGTTTAGCACTAAATGAAGCTGAAGATTCAAGTTATGATTCAGATTGTGATAATGATGATACAACACAACAGCATCATCATCATCATCAACATCATCAACAACATGTACAATCACAACATCAGCAAACAAAATATAATGTACACAAACAACAAATTACTTCACAGCAACAGCAACAATTTCATCAACAATTACGTCATCATCAACAACAACAACAGCAACAACAACCACTAAATTATTTCCATACAACTGTTAGTGGAACAACATCATCAAATGATGAGCATGAACAAGTATCGAGAACAACAAGTGATACTCTTGGTCAAGAATTTGCTGAATATGTAACAACAGCAACTGGTGCACCACAAGCATCAGGAATAACAAGTCAACAATCGTTACAGCATCAATTACCAGAAAAATCACCTGGTTATACAGCACGTGTTGAATTTGCACTTAAACTTGGTTATACTGAACGTCTAGTCCAAGCAGCTTTAGCCCGTTTAGGACCAGATCCAGCTCAAAATGAGTTATTAGCTGAACTAATTAAACTTGGGGCCAATAAAGGTGATTTTATATGTGATTCACCAACAGCTGAATGTTTATCACCTGTACCTACTGGCAATATAAATAGCGTTAGTGGTATTGGTTCTTGTTCACAAGTTGTTACCGGTTTACCATTATTAACCGGAACTGGAAGTACTGGTACTAATAATTCAGCGATTATTGTTGGTAGTGGTAACAATGATTTGACAAGTTGTAATCCAACTAATGTTGCTGTTGGAATCCCATCACATTTTGCTGCTCTACATTCTCATCATCATCAACATAATTTACATTTAGGCAATAGTAGTTTTAGTAGTGATGATCCATCATCAATATCAAATCATCCAATGAATGGTTTACGTCCAATAGTTATAGATGGTAGTAATGTTGCTATGTCTCATGGCAATAAAGAAGTCTTCTCGTGTCGAGGAATAAAATTATGTGTTGATTGGTTTAAAAATCGTGGCCATAAAGATATTACGGTATTTGTGCCGAAATGGCGAAAGGAAAGTTCTAGACCTGATAATCCAATTAAAGATCAAGATATTTTAAATGAATTAGAAAGAGAGAGGATGCTTGTTTTTACTCCATCAAGGTTAGTTGGTGGTAAACGTATGGTGTGTTATGACGATCGTTATATTTTGAAGGTAAAAATTTAAAGATAAATGACCATTAAAATAGACATAAATTAAAATTTTATAAACTTTTCAGTTGGCTGTTGAAAACGATGGCATTGTTGTTTCAAATGACAACTATAGAGATTTAGTTCAGGAAAGTTCTGAATTTAAAAAAGTGGTTGAGGAACGCGTTTTGATGTATTCATTCGTCAATGATCGTTTTATGCCACCTGACGATCCATTGGGAAGGTCTGGACCGACCCTAGATAATTTTCTGAGAATTCAACCCAAGTAAGAAAACTCAATGTGAAATTTTTGATATTTTTGTTTTTATAAAAACTTTATTTGTAGGAAAGGAGATCCGCCACCTCCTTGTCCATATGGTAAAAAATGTACATATGGTAATAAATGTAAATTTCATCATCCTGAACGGGGATTAGGTCCACATAAATCTGTAACAGAACGTCTGTCAGAACACGCAGCACGTCATTTATCTGCACGCAACTCATCCGCCGATGCATCTAGAACTCCCGTTCAAGGTAAATCTCTTAGCGTTCCACTTAGTTGTACAAGTAATGTTGTTGATTCGAGCCAATCAGCATCTTCTTCGCCATCCATATCACCAGCTGCAGGAGGTGGATTGCCTGGATCCAATACAGCAGAGCGTGTATCTAGGAAAACAGCATTATGTAGAACAAGATCTGGTGCACCAGATTGTTCTATACCTCCGCAAACACAACAGCAGCAACAACAACAACCCAACTTAAATAATCAAAAGAATTCTTTGAATTCTAATATAGGACAGCAACAGATCCCCACAGCATGGGATCCGTCTTGCTGTCATGTATTAGACACAAATTTAGGCGGAACTGGAAATCATACTACTAGTGGTCATCACCCTGCTAGTATTAGTAGCTTTCCGAAATCCCATAGCATTGAAAATATATCACGAGAAACCTTTGCACATTCATTAAGTGGAACACCAGCTGCACAGCCACCACAATCACAATCACAACAACAAAAAATTCAAAGTACACCAATTTCGAATTTTCAATCTTTATGGAATACACCTAATACACCACTACAAGTTAGTCAACAAAATCCACAACAACAACAACAATGTGGAATTACATCACAACAATTAACATCACAATCAGATAATAGTTTAGTTTTAGATGAATCTGTTAATTTGCATAGAAAATTAAGACGCCAGCTCACTTTGAATGCAGCTGGTTGTGATCCTAGAATATATCAATTACAACGCTGTATGACGCCAATCGGTACGACAAGTGGTGTTAGTGGACCAAATAGTCCATCACCACTAGTACCGTCACCAGCACAATCACACTCACCGCATAGGCCATTAGCACCATCTTTAAGTGGACCACGTTCACATCACCCAGCAGCACAATGGGATTTACATCAGGTAAAAATCTAAACAAATTTTGCAAAATGTTGGTATTTTATCTAAATTAAGAAAGATTTTTCAATATATATATATATATATATATATATACATATATTTTTGTGTCATTAATACTTTTTTCATTGCGTAATTTTAGAGTTTAACACGTATTGCATCAGCACCAGATCCATCACGTCCATGGCAAAGTGGACCACCTCCAGCATCATCATCTGAGCCTCAAATCAATTTGTGGCCACATCATGCTCCTGCAACTGTTTTAGCTGCACAAGATCAACGTCGTCGATTGCATTATCATTTAGCAAGCATTTTTCCAGAAGAACAAGTTCAGACTGTTATGCAAATGTATCCAGATGAGACTAATCCTCAAACAATATGTGCTGCCATCTTAAATATGTTTCCAAAAATTTAATTTGGAAACTAATAAACTTTAGAATCATCGTTAGAAAGTGAAAATTATTATTTTATAAAAATATACAATATTATCATTACATATTTAGATTAATTATGCGTATATTATTATAATATACGTTCAAATGTATACATTTATGTATATGTTTATAATATGAATAGTTATAAAAAAAAAATAGAATAATATAAAATAAATGTTAACAAATTTCAAATTTTATTTTTCATATTTAAACTAATATTAATTAAATTTTATTATTTTTTTCACACTTTTTTATGTTTTTCTTTTTACTAAGAAACTGTATAACAGTTTATTTTAATGAATGGAATGAAATTTTCTATTAAAATATAAGCATATAAGTTAAAATTTGATCAAAAATAAATGAAAATAAATATTCTATTAATAATAACATTCAACAAGAAAATCTTCAAGTTAACGCTACATCAACATTTTTCCGATAATTATTACAATAAAAAACATTTCTATAAATACGTAATTTTATAAAATTAACCGATACATTTTATACTACTTTTAATGCAATTATAGAAAACTAAAACAAAATCAATATAATGAAATTTCTAAAAACAAGTATTTTAATAAGAATTATTTCCTAAAATTTGTATGTGTCATTAGTAAAGAAGATGATTTGTCTAACGCAAAATAAAATCAAAAATTATTTCTAAAAAAAAATTGATATTTTTTTGTGCAATCTAAAATTAAACTATAAATTAAAAATATGCAGATCATACACGCTTTTAACACTTTTGTCTTGTATTTAAAGCATCCCATAATCCAGTACAAATTTTGAATATATACTATATAAAATATATTTGTAGAATGTTTTCATTCTTTGTATTGATAAATGAGAATGTCGCGTTTATATTTGAAAAAAAAAAATATCAGATAAAAGTTATTAAAATAATAAATGAAAACTATTGCATATTGAAAGATATAAAAAAAAATTGATGTTAATTACATTAACTAAAATTCCGGAAGTTCGAATTATGTTAACGAATAATTTCCTAAATTGATATTGTTCTTAAATTTGTTTTATAGTGAAAGAACTGTTTTTATACTAAATACAATATATTTAGAAAGAAAATATTAAATCAAATTATTTACCTGTTTGTCTAAAAGAATTCCAAAATATTGTATTAACTTTTGTTTTATTTAACATTATTACTTCTTATCAAGCAAACATTATATTTCATATACTTCACAAATAATAGAATTTTAATTGCATATTCACAAAACAATTTTCTATATTATACCAATACAATTTAATCCAAAATCCAATAATGTTATTTAAACTCTAATTGAAACCTAAAGTTTCTATGTTTAAAATACAAAAGCATCAATTCCATTTATAAAAATATAATTTTTTCAATTTATATTAATAACTAGCATTTGTTCCAATAATCTTATTTTTGTGCTATAGATGTATTTCTTAACCTGTATCTCAGTGTAATAATTATGATAAAATACATTTTTTAATGCTTAAAATTTGGTATAAAATGAAAATATTTTATTTTCTTTATAGTGTACAAAATCATTTTACACAATTTAATTAAAACAATTATAAATAAAGATAGAAAAAAAATATACCAGTATAAAAAAAAAACCCTGATTATAAATTATTATTGTTATATTACATAAACACCCCATTTTATATATACATACAATTTTTTTTTATTTTTATCAAAAAAATTATAAATAATAAATAGTTTTTTGTAAAAACGAATTGTTATTGTAATACTAAATTTTTTTTTCATATAATTAGTAAAATAATAAAAAATATTCCTATTAAAAAGAAAGAATAATAATTTAATTTTTAAGTAAATTTTTTAAATGCATATATAAAATTTATGTATACAAAAATATGTATTAATTAGCAAATTATACAAAATACAAGTAATATAATTAATAAAAAATTAAAAATGTATACATTCAAAATTTACTTACATAATATTATAAAAAAGAAAATAATTAAAAATATACAGAAATTTTCTTTTATTTTAAATGCTTCAAAAGCAATCAAATTGTAAAAATTAAAAAAAAAACATAAAATAAAAAATTAAATGTTTTAATAAATGGCAATATTTAAAAAAATGAACAATGATTTATGTAATTTAAAAAATGTAATTTAAAAAAAAATATACCATACATTATATACATATAAATTAAATATTTAAAAACGATAAATAAAAAAAAAAATATTATGTAGTAAATGTTTAAAAAAGAAATAAAAATAAAAAATTTACATACCATGCATACAGATTGAATAAAAATATTAGGCATTATAAACGTTCATTGCATACAAACATTTCAAATTTTAAACATTTATAATTGAAAATAAATTAGAAAAAATTCAAATAACAAAACATATTAGTTTTATAATGAAAAATATTTACAAAACATATCATATTAGGCATATTATTATTATTCTAACTCATATTTACATTAAATAAAAATTATTATTAACTGATAAGAAATTATATATTATATGTATTTTAAAATAATATAATTATTATATTACAAAACTGTAATTTAAAAAAAAACATTTTAAATATATTTAAAATTTTAATTAAAAATAACAATGGAACAAAAACACTTTTTACTTCATTCATAATTTATTATCAATTATAAATGTTACGAAAATATTAAACTCTACTTTTCATCGTTTATTTTTTTGCCGCTTTATAAATAATAATAAAAATAATAATTAAATAAAGTTTTTGAAAACAATAAAACAATGTTAGTGATAAAATAAAAATGAAAACAAAAGAAAAGAAATACACACATATATTAAAATAAAAATGAAAAATTTCTTATTTATAACAAAAAAAATTCTTGTATTAAAAGTAGCAAAAAAAAGTAGCAATCTTAATTTTTTTTTAATTGAAATTAAATTGATCTATATAAAACTATCACAATTAATTTATTTAAATATTTTAAATATATTTCAAAAAAAAAATTTTATATGCACATTATAATTTATAAAATAAAAACCGGCCCAAATACTATTTGATACACAATGGTAAATGCTTAACAAATTATAAATTTAAATTTTTAAATTTAAATTTAATTCAATTCTTATTATTATTATTATATAGTTAAAAATTGAATTTTGAAAGAAAATAGTGAAAATCATTTTTAATATTTTATTGAATTTTATAAAACCTTTTTTTCTTTTTTAATTGCCTGTGTTGTTATTAATTAGCAGTCACACATTTCTTTTCACACATAAATTTAAAAGAATTTTTTTGAAATTTTAAATGTGATTTAAATCTAATTTTATTTAAATTTTTATTAACAACAAGATTTAATTTTAAAATATAAAAATCTCGTTAACAAAATGAATAATTTTGAATGTTCAATTTCGAATTAGTGCAAAAATAAATTGTATAAATTTGTTTATAATAAAATAAAAATTTTCAATAATATTCAAAATTTAAATGTCCTTTTGAAATGCTTTTTTTTTTCCTAATATAAGCGGTATAAAAAATTTTAAAATACGTTTGATTAATTCGTTTTAGAATTTACAAAAAAAAAAAATTAAAAAATTTACATTTTGCTCTAAAAAACAATAAAGATTGATAAAATTTTTCAAAAAGATTTTTTCTTAATTTGGAAATTGATGGTTTATTTTGAAAGTAATGTTGTCGTTTCGCATGAAAGCCCAATTGCAATTTGAAAACTCTTTCTTGTTTCCAGAACTATAATATTGTCAATAGTTAAAATTGAAATTAAAATAAATTTTCTATAAAACAAATAACCAATTAATTAAATTTATGAATTACTTTAAATCCAAACGCAGCAATATTTTATTTTTTAATTGAAATAGGTCACTTTCAAAATGAAACATCTAAATAATAATTTGTGTAGTATTGTATATTTAATAAGCATGATAGACAAAATACGTACCCTGAATTTACTTAAAAATAAAATAAAAGTTTTAAAAATAAAACCTTAATTGTTTTTACGTTAATAAACTTAATTGTTTGTAAAAAAAATTATTTTGCTATAAAAATAAAAAATTATTTAAGATTTTTGTCTTTTTAATAAAAGTCTTCCACTTTAAAATTATTATAATAAAATATGTAAATAATGATTTTGTTATTAAAATTTTTTTCTTTTGTTTTTATTATATTAAAATTAATTAAAAATGTGTGTTAAAAATAAATAAATAAAGTAAAAGATAAAATTTCTTTATATTTTTTTATAATTATTATATAAAATTTTATTAAATTTTTTCGTTTTTATTTTTAATTATTTTTTATTAAATTGAAATTTAATTTTTTGTACATGACTAAAAAAAAAAAACAAGTGATTCATATACATATTATCGTCTGTAAAAATATTAATTTATATGTAAAGAAAATAAAAAGAAATTAAAATATTATTTAAATGTTTATTAATTTTGAAAACAAAAAATAAAAAATAAAAGTAGATACGTATAGATTTTTAAGCCATAAAAGCAATTAAAAAAAAAAAAATTGATAATATTATTGTAGTAGGTCTACATTTATTATTACAGAATATTTAAAGTCAACACATTCTAACACTTAAATAAATATTTTTTAATAAATTTATAATTTTAATAATAACATTAAAAAAAAAAAAATAATGCATGTTTATTGTACGTATGTAAAACATTAATGAAAAATTATTTTTATGTGTATAGGTTGCATAATATATTATATTAATACTATAATAATATTAATATAATAATATTATTATTATTTATATATTGTATGTTTAAAAAAGATGATTTAAATAATTAAAAAAATAATAATAATGTATAAATATTTTTAACATAAATTTTTGTTATACTTAATTAATGCTAAATTGAATTTGTAAATATTAAAAATAAATTCATATCTTCACTGTATTTCGGGTCAGCATTAATAAAACTAGAAATTAAATTTAACAAATTAAATTTAATATATTTTTTGAATTAAATTTGAGCTTTGAGTAATTTATCATACTTTATTTAAACTTAAAGTAATAATTATTTAATTCATTTATGCATTAATTAAGTAACACAAAATTCTTGTAATATGAATGGTAATTAAAAATTAATATAATAATTATAAAATTCGCTGTGTAGATTTCATTGAAATCGCAATATGTTTTTTTTTTTTTTGTTTGTTTTTATTCTTTGAATGTATAACTTTCCAAAATTAAATGGAAACATTTATAAAATTTTGTGTAATTACTCAATAAAAAAATAATTAAAATAACATTGTATAAAATAACTTTTAAAAAAAATTTAAGATTTAGCAAAAAAAAAAAAAAAATTATTTAGAAAAAAGAAAATCATAAAATATACTTGTAATGTTAATAATGGCAGCTTTAAGTTTTCCTGTTTAGAGAGAAGAAAAAAAAAAAAACATCAATGTAATTGAGTATTTTGGTAGCTTAAGTTAAGCCTCATTTTGTTTTTAGTTTATTTTTTTTTTAATATTATTATTTTATTTTATTTTTTGTAATTTAAAAAAAAAAAATGATTTTTTTTCTTAAAAGTAAATAAAATTTTATTTAAAAATAAAAAATATATTCTGCAATAAAATTACTTTTTTCCTTTTTTAATTTTTAATTACAAAATTTCGGAAAAGCACCAGTTCCAATCCCTTAGGTTTTGATTTAGTTTTATTTAAATTTAGGAGATTTTCGATAATTCAGGCATGCAGTAAAAGTTTTAAATTAAATCTCAAAAGTTTTTTCATACACACTCATAAACAAATATGCGAAAACTAAATATTTATAGAACTTTAAAGACAACTGTTTTTTTCGAACATGTTATTTTTGCAGACTTTGCGCAGTTAAGTTAATTATTTCAATAAGAAGTTTTCTTTTAATTTTTTTTTCTAACTACAACTTTAATATAAAAGATTTCAACAATGAACAATTAATTGAATATACTAGAGGTTTTTCTGTTGATTAAAGATGTTTGTCTACTACAGATATTTCTGTTAACAGAAGAGTACGAAAATTGCCCTTTATGTGGCATTGAACATGTTTGTATAGTAATTCTAAATTTAAATTGAATTTTGATTTTGCAAATACCATAACTAAAGCAAAAATAGTTCAACAGAATTTTAACCTAGAATTTTTAAATTCCCATCTTTTCAACCTTTTTACTTAGAGTCAATAAAACCTACAATTAACATACATTTTAAATAAAAAAAAAATTGTAGGTATGCGGTGCATTATCATTTCAATTTATTATTATTATTTTCAATTTTAAGCTTTTTTTTTTTATGTTTTTTCCAATTAAATTAATATTAAAATAATACTTAAACATGTATCAAAAAAAAAAAAAATTAAATTGTATAATTTTAGATTAGACAAAAATCTAAATATGTCCACATTGTTGTATTATGTATCTTCATATTGGAGTAACAAAAAATAAAAAAAAAAAATAAATAAAAATAATAAAAAATTAATTAATTATTATTAATTTCATTCAAATGTAGTGTGTTCTCTACACACTGGTGCATTACCATATCCGTATGTTCCACAACAGGCAACCTTCATCGCAACCGGTTTAGGCCTTAGAGAATACGTGCTATAAATATTATATTGGTTTTTTTTCGCTGACTTTATTTGAGAAATTGGACTACAACTTCGCTCAGGAGGACAATAAGGCAAGAATCAACTCCATAGCACTTTTAGTCTTGATACTGGAATCATTTCAAAAAAGAATTTTTGAAAATTTTGTTTTTTTTTAGGGTATGTATTTTTTAAAGTGATGCTAATATTGCAACTTTTCGTGAATTTTCCCAAAATGGATTCCCCAGGTTTTAAGTTTTCTGCCGATTATCTTCGCCAAAGTCAAATATAGTCGTAACTTGCCCAATTAAAAAAAGTGTCTATTACTTTTAGCACACAACAATTGTTGGCAAAAAAACTACAAAAAAAATTTAGAAACTACAATTTAGAGTCCAGTTCTTAATCTGTGATCCAACATCTGTGGTATAATTTGAAAAAGAAAAATTGGGAGTCTCTATCGTATAAACATCACAAAATAGTTTAATGAAGCTATTTTGACTCGATAGAGAAATATTAGACTGAATTCAGAAAAATAAGGGAAGAAATTAAATAAAAACAAAGTTGTAACATTCTATTAAATCAATCAAAAAAAATTTGATAACTGAGCTATGACTGTAGAAATGTTATACTTTCAGTTGTAAATTTTAAAAAAGCTGCTGATGCAGTTCTCTATTTTTAAAAGTATGTACTGGTTTAAAATTTAAGCAGATCTTTTCAAACACACATATTGAAATATACACAGTATAAAGTTAGAACTGCGTACTCGAAAAAGCTACATTAACTCGGTCTTTATCATGTTGACGAAATTTTCTTTTCTCTTGATCTACGTAATTATGATTTAATGTTGCTTTTTTTTTTTGGATTATAACAGAAATTGATATCTCGATGCAGATGAGCTTGTGTAAGAATGGGGAACTGAACGTCGGACATGGTTTTTATTAATATTTACAAGATTTTCAAAGACTTCCAAATACGGAGAAGTTAGCTTGTAGAGTCAATTGTTTCGCACACGGATATTTTCCTAGTTTTCTAGGGTATTCTTCTAGGACAACAGGATTTACCTTAATTACTTACCCTTTTCCATTAAATTTAAAATTGAAAACCTGAAAATTATATGAAAACGTACCTGAAATTTTTTTTTTAAATCAAAAGCAAAAATTAAGGTTTACAAAGCTGCAAGCCACTAGGAAAATTAAGTAGCATAGTAGGGTTCCATTAATACTAGCATACGTAAGCAAGTCATACTAATTATTGAAAGTAATTACGTTAATTATGTTAATGAAAGTAAACTACAAGATGTTCCACATTTTCATGTCACGCAGATTTTGAAACATAGAATGTATATATGTACATATCTGCAATATACATTTATAGGTAGATTTGCAATTTTAAAAACGCAGTTAAAGTAAAATAAAAATTTCAATTGTGTATAACCAGAGCAATATGTACAAGCATTATTAAATTTGATTCTGAAAATAATGTGCAACTTTACCTATAACCCCTTTTTAACTGAGTCTTAATAAGAATTATTTCATCTAGTTCTAAAGCTTCAGTCATAATTATAGTTTATTTATCAAATGAGTTGATTTTGGGGTTGAATTTCAATTGAAAGAAATCTAGAAAAAAATTGATTTTTATTTGATAAGAGGTTATTAACGCTTCACAAATCAGAATGTGCCAAACTAACCAACATGGTTTGTATATTCTAGTGCAAAAAAAAAAAACGCAGTTTAAAATGTTTATAAGCTCTTTATATGTACTTAGAGCAACCACCTAAATAATCAGTGTTGATTAAAACTTAATTTTTACGTTTCGGAGGACGATTCTTTAGTGAAAATTATTATTCATTTAGAGGATTAAGCTAATTAATTCAATTAAAAGAATAATAAAATTGATTGGATGTTTGTTGGGCTGCATCTGTTTCTGAACCACGTTCTTAATGAATGAATAAAAAACTCGCGTTTGTATTTAGATTTTTTTCAACATTATCGTTTCTTCAGTACTTCATTATTAGCTACCCTCAAATAAAGAAGTCTTTGTTTTTAATTTTCTTAGTTTTTTTTTAATTTTCTTTAAATTCTGTATACAAGAGTAAGAATAGTTGGTTGTTCGCTTTATCGTTCTTTTTTTTGTTTTTAATAATTTGTTTTTTTTTTTATAATTTTTTCATTTATATTTTATTTCTTTTGTATGTTTTCATGTTACTTAAAAAAAAATCTGGTATTTAAATTGCAAAATCGTTAATATTTTATAATATAATTATAAATTTTATATTTTAGTTTATTTCAGTTTTTTTTTTATTTATTATTTTTAATTATTATTATTTATAAATATTGTATTTAAAGTTTTATTTTTTTTTTAATTTTTAATATTTTTTTTTTTATTTTATTAATTTTTTTTTTTTAATTTGTTGCTGAATAGAAAATATCTTTGTATACCACATACATACGTTAAAGCTCACACAAACACACGCACAAACATCATTACATAGTTATCAATTGTTTTAGAAAAATAATAATAATAATAATAAAAAAAAAGTTATCGAATAAATATTTTGGTGATTGTGGTGTGTTGCAGTGTGCGCAGCGAAAAAAAAAAAAACGTAGTAGTCGCCTAAATAGAAAAAAAAAATTTCTGAATTTTAAATTTTCTTTTTTTTATTTTTTAATTATTATTTTTTGTGTTTTTTAATTTTAATTTTATTTTTTTTTTCTTTGAATAATTTATTGACGATCTGTGGCACGTAATTTCTCTTCAACTGCTTCCCGAGATGCTTCTGATAAATCGGTGGCTTGAATATACTTTTGTACACCGACCAATGATTTTTTCAAGGCATCAAAAGAGCTGGAGTACAACATCTTCTTTTTAACCTAAAATTAATAATGAAAAATTAATGAATATTTTCAGTAAAATATTTTTAAACACAAAACGCATGCGTACATACATATATACAAATATATAAGAATATTTGGGCATATTTCTTGGAATATATAATTTTGTGTCACTTACAAAGTGATAGTGACAAAGCAGTTGTTTTATTCTACCAGTCACGAATAATGTCATTGCTTTTTAACATGTCATATTTTTCGAGTTAAACCAATTCACCACTGTCTTTGAAATAGCAAAATTTTAAACGATGTAGCAGTAATAAATCAATTTAGCTTAATATATTACTAAATTTGGCCATATAACAGTTAAGGCGTCAGATTCTAGGAATAAAGTGACAAAGTCATATGAAATAAATGAAGTTATTTTTTTTCGGCAATTTTTAAAAAATTTTGAAAAGATCTCATAGGAAGGTCCTGAAAGGATTCTCAATCCAGATTGGAAGGAAATCCAAAAAGAAGAAATGCATTCATCACAAACGTTTGAAATTCAAAAAATTTCTCATACAATATTGACAATTTACAGTTTTTGTATAACACAATTGCATGCAATTGCATGCAATCTAAGCAAATTACGCATCGAAAACAATTGAAATGATTAGAAAGAATCAGTCTACTTATCTGCTAGGATCTGTTTCGTATAAAGGCTAAATTTAAGTTCTTAAACGAATTTACGTGGATTTGCCATTTTGTTTTCTTAAACTCAAATTAAATTTCTTTGTTTTACAAATTTATTTACAATTTAGCAATAAAATCAATAAATGAACTTTTCAACAAACATTTTCAACTTTTATTTTTACAATGACAGATTGGGAATTTAGAAAAATCTTCATATTAAATACATATTAAGTTTAAGTGTCATTATCAATATCAAAGTTTGCTTTAGAATGAGAGAACCATTGACATTTTACATGGAATCTATTGACATTTTACAGCAAGCGCAATATTACTGTGGCAGCGGAACAAGAATATGATTTTTTTTTAATTGAACTCATAAAGTAATTCTATAGCTTATTCCAAACTAATATTTTTTTAAAATTTTGTCCATTTTATACTTATGTACATATAAAAATAAAGCTATATTTATCTAATCTTAAAACATAAAGATATCCGCAAAATGTTTAATCATACATGCTATATATACATATGTAAATAAATGAAAACATTTCATATAACATTATTCAAGATTCCATAAAAAAGTCCAAATAATAAAATGTTTTTATGATTATAGCTTTAATAATGGCATATTGTAAGTGTAAGTATAGAAGATGAGTTCAATATTGTACATTTCACCAAAATAATTCATTTTGCTGGAAATTTTTAAATTCTTCTGGGAGTTGTTTACGACCAGTATTCTACAAAGTATTAAAAAATAATTCAATATTGAAATTTAAATTTTGAGTGACACTAATAACAATATCAAAATTACAAAGGTTTTTGATAATACAAATTAAAAATTTTCCATATTGCCTCCTCGCCCCTTCACCACAATCCAACCCCAAATGCCTTAAAGTTCTTTTTAACAACCATACTTTTTATACAAATACACATATAACACTTAATAACACTTGAATACTTAATTTATAATAATATTAAACTTACCCTAGCAGTATCTGGGCACCATGACATAAGGAAAAGTTTTTGTTTTTTAGAGCTTTCAGATGTACCTTGACATTGATGCATATATTCGAAATCAAAAAGGCCATACCTAAAAAATTAAAAACATATCATTATTATCAATAATCAATTGTTGATTTTTAAAAAATGCTTATCACTTTATTTTTTTCGATATCTTATCAAAGAAATTTAAAGTATAATTACGATATAAATACGAAAAAAAAAATTAATAACACAAGATTTAAAAAAAAAATCGGTTTAGAAATCTTTAATATTTTTTAAATTTAAGTAAATAGAAACGATTAATATTATAAAATATTAGATCATTTTCGAAAATAAAGTCAAATTCAATATAAAAATTGAATGGAATATAATTGAAAATATTGTTCTATTAATGCAGTCAGTCCCGAGTTTTCAATCCCTACAACAAGATTTACTACATTAGTACCATAGTATACAACCACATTATTCTTGTTTTCAAGAATCATTAGAAAAAATTGATGAAACAACTTAATTGAAATTATTTAGGAAAATTTCGCAAAAGCTATGTGAGCTTATTTAAATTGAAATTTTTATAAAAATTCATTGATTTGGGAAAAGTACGCACTGTAGGAAGATGAGTGTGTGCTTGTTATGTCGAAAATTACAAGAGAAAGTGGTAATGTTTCACCATAACACAATTGTAAATTGTCAACTAAATAGCTATTAGGCACCTAGTTAGTTAATTTTATTAAAACAAAATTAATTTAATTGAAAAAAAAAATAAATGACTTTACTGTACTGTACGACCCCTATATGGTACAAAACTAGTATTCATTTATTAGGAATATAGGAATTTACTAGGAATTTACTAGAATATAGGATTTTATAAACAAAAGGTTTAAATTTACAAATAACCAAAAGAGCTAAAAATTTTAATAATTAACGTATGTTGGACCCTTTCATAATTTAAATAATTCTTTAAATTTACTAAACTTTTTGAAACCCTAATTATTTTGCGTACAAACATTTTTGAAATCTTAATATTTAAAGTAACTTTTATTCCGAGTTTTGTTAATTCAAAAACAAAACAAAACTATTAGTGCATTTAACATACCGACATTCGCCTGGACCACATTTTTGGATATCTTCTAAGAAAGCGTCGTACTCAGCATTACGTTCACCAACAGTTTCTACATCAATTTGTTTTTCATCACGAATGAAGAAAATTACATAACGATGTTTTTTATCCTTTTTGATTTCTTCATATGTGGTCTTACATACGTCTGATACGGTTACACCGGATGCCTAAAAATATAATAAATATAATTAATAATTATGAAAATTTTCTTAATTTATAAAATATAAATTTGAATAAAATAAATATAATTGTTTCAAGGACATGTTATCAAAATTTAAAATCATTAAAACTGATAAATTTTGTACACCAATCCTTGATAAAATTTTATTATTCACAGTTCTCTGAAAATTAATGAATGCATGTTTTTTCGCAATCAAATTTAATTTTATATAAAAAACTGTGTTACCCCTGTAATATATACATACAATATCAAAAATTTGAGCTCAATACTTTAAACTCTTTGCAATCTTAATTGTTTAAAAAGACGTTGTATTGTCTCTATATTTATTCAACAAACCTTTTGTGACAAAACATAATTTAAGTCGCTTTCGTGCTTCTCGTCTTACAGAGTACGTAAGCCAATTTTGTCAGTTAGACTACGTATGTTAGTCTCCTTTTCGTATTGAAATTGTGCAGAGACGTTTGGTCTTGGTATGTAAATAGACTTCAGCTTTGCAGGTTAAAGCCGCTTCGCTTCCGAAGTGTGTTTTCTGATATAGTTTCCGTTAATCAATTTGACGCGGTAACGTGGTTACCGAGGTTTAATTATGTCGAATTTCTTACTGGAAGAAACCCAGAACCTTAAGATCGGTGGAGCTTTTCAATGAAATCAACTTATATTCGTTGGTTTTTTTGGTGCTAATATAAATAACAGGCTACCTAAGGCCAGATTCTACGGCAACATTGATTTTGTTTAATTATATTCTTATAATTATAATTTGATGCTTTATTTCATATATTAATATTAAATTAATACTATTAATTTTTCATTTCCCCAGATTTCACTTATAGTATAACACGTTTGTTGACTAAGTGGTGTTTACTTTGCTATACTAAATGCTTGTTCTAGGCGATTGTCTGATATATATATATATATCGACGAAATTATCAATTTCTCTACATATTTCTGAGTGATATGATTTATCAAAATAATTTAATTATTAATTTCAATAAATGCAAAATAAATTTAAATCATAAATTGTTTTTCAACTCAAAAACTCACGCTACAAACTTTTTTTTTCACAAACAAAGAAAAACCTTATTTTTTTTTGTTTGTTTGCTGTGGCTGAGTATGACTGAAAACATTTTTTTGAATCATAATTTGTAACCAGCAATAATTTTTGATTTCACAGTTGAATTAAAGAAATAGTTATTATTTAATAATATTCACTATTTCTTTAGTGTAAACTGTGGACTAGTTTTAGTGAATATCAAAAATTATAAAAAAAATCTTAATCAAACATTTGTTCTTTTAGCACACAAAAATTAGCTGGGTTACATTTAATAAAAAAAATATAAAATCAAACAAAATTATTTTAAAAAATAAAATTTAAATAATATTTTAACATTTTGTTGAAATTATTTAAATGCAAAAATTTCTAAAAATTCAAGAGAATTTTTAAAAATGTTAAAATATTGTTGAATATTATTAAAAATTCAAAAAATGTTATTAGTTTCAATTCTCACAAAATATTGAAAATATTATTAAATATTAGTGTTAATTTTAGAAAACAGGGCTGTGTTTTAGTAACAAATTAAAAATTTAGCTAGAATATTTTCAAATTTAAATTAGTATGATAAATCATATCACTTGATTTGCAAAATATTTCAAACTCTTCTATTTTTTTCATGTAAGTTTCAGTTTCAAGTCTCCAAGTGCATATTTTATTTTAAACTAATGAAATTTAATTATTAATTATTTGCGTCTTGATTTATGTTTTGTTAACCTTTTGAGTGCATACATGTTCCACTTTTGTCCAGCAACATTTTAAAAATTAGATCGTTTTTAAATTATCTAATTAGTTTACTTTCAACTCTAAAGAGCGAATGAAAAAAATTTGACAATATAAGAAACTATAAGTATTTTTATTACTCAAATATATTAAAGCTGTTTTTTTGCAAATATAAGTACAAGAGAAAAAAGTGTTACAGGTGTACACTCAACGTCCTAAAAACTAATTGTACACTCAAAAGGTTATTACATAAATAATAAAATTTTTCAATTTAAAGGTCAGTAGTGCCTTATAAGGGTAGTTTTCAATTAAATAAAATGTTCGTTCACCTTCACTTATTTTAGGATTACTTATTTAATAAATTGAGAAGAAATATATTAATTTCAAAATTTAAAATAAATTTATAAATTTAGACATAAATGCATTTAACTTGTTCTTGAAGAAATTGCCCGAATATAAAATCTTGCTTCTTTATTTTAAACGATTTTTCAAGCTTTTATAAAGGATTTTCTATAAATAAAATTTTGCTTCCAAATAAAATTAAAAAGGAAAATGCTTATAATATTTATAATCACTTTTTATTCTATAAAATAAATTTCATTAATTAAATAGCCGCAAAGAATAGAGGTTTTATTGAAAGTTATACTAGAAAACAATAACTGCGAAACGCAATACTTGCAATGTATATAAGACATTTTAACATTGCATATAAATATATGATGATTATGCAATATATTTTTAAATATTCGATAAAATCAAAACAGCTCATACTAATTTCTCTTAATTTTGGCGAAAAATCAGCCATGTTTTTAGACAAATTAGGTTAGCATAATTTAATTTTGAACACAGTTGCAGTTGTCGCTATACATCACGCGATTTACTGCGTTTATAAACAGGCAATATCTTCATTATGATATAAGGAGTTTAGAATTAAAGTAGTTATTAATAGATATACGAGTATATAGACAAATAGGTAAGATTCAAGTAGATCAAGTATTGCATTCATAATTTATAAACAAGTAATTTTCATATTATTAATAAATTAAAATTAAATTTATTTTTTATTTTAATATCATAAAATGTTTGGACTTATTCTGCTCATATTGAATTAAAATACCTTATATTTATTATTGTTAGTAATTAAATTTTTTTATACTTTTACATTTCTTTTATTTATTCCATATAAATCGAAAACCAAAGATGAGGATCAATAGACCCATTAAAATAATAAAATTTCCACATGTACAATTATGTATATATGTAGAAATATATTTTAAATGAGAAAATGTAATTAATTTTATATTTCTATTAATAGGAAATTGCCTAGCACGTCAATTTTTATTTTATAAAAAAAATTTTTTATAGTAAGTACTTATAAAATTATATGTATACCTTATCTTTATATTTTAAGTGCAGACTAATAAATCTGATCTTCTTAAATGCATTAAAAAAATTTTTTTTAAATAAAAATAAATTCTTTGCATATATGTATATGAAACTTGAGATATAATAAATAATATAGAATAAGCATAATCAACAAAAATATTTAAGAAAATATGTATAGATATATGTATGTATGTATTGTTGTTGTTATGCATTTAAAATGAAGTGAACACATGTTCATAATAGAACTATTGATTTATATGTAGCTATGTAGTTACTAAATCGCAAGAATGCCTGAAATGCATTATAATACACACACACACACTTACATATCCATATTTATTAATGAAATTGTTTAATATATGTGTGTTTGTGTTAGCATGAAAATCCAAAACAAAAAAAAAAAAAAAAAAAAAAAAAGAGAAAAAATTTATAATTTGCAAGATTATGCAGTTTTTTTCTTTACTTTCAGAATTTTTTATAGTGAATAAGAGTAAAAAAAAAAACATTAAAGGAGTAAAAATTTTTAAACTTGTTTGTAATGAGGCGTAAAATTTGCCAACAATTTTCATAAATTTTGATACTCATACGCAACTGCTGCATGTTAACTGTGGGAAAAGAACCAAAGCGGCGAACGACAACGGCGGACGATTTCCGTTGCTGACACAGAACAAGAGCGAAACGACAAAATCAACAGCATAGTATTTTGCACACAATGTTATGGACACATGGAAACAAAATAATGTCAACAAAAACCGCCAGTGGAATTTAATTTTGAATGATTCTGTATTTCGCTTGTGTATTCTATAGGAATTCTGACATTTCGGAGCGGAAAATCTCTCTTGTTGTTTTCAACTTAATACTTATCGGAAATTACTAAACAAACGGTAAGTAAACAACGCATTTACTATGAACAATACTATTCGTGGAACGTCCGCAGCCGTTTTTGCTTTTTCGTGCAAAGCACTTGTTTATAAGTTTTTTTTTTAATTTATTTTATTAAAGAAGATTATTGACATATTGCCCGAACTGCCATATTATTATCAAAATAATTAAAGAATTAAGATTAAAATATAAATTTTAAGGGAAATGAAGAAACGTCAGTTAATTGTATTTTTAATGTTTATCACATTTATTTTAATTTTTTTTTGTAATTCGAATATTGGCTGTAACCAAAAATGTACAAGTATAGAAAAATTTTTATTGTATGTAGACAATATTTTTAATAGTTAGTCACTACTAAAGGTACTTTACGAATTTTGAATAATAAAAGAAAAATTTAAAAATACAATTTTCCTCTTATTTTTTTTTTATTTTTTTTTTCTGTGTTATTCACAAATTCTAAACATAAAAGAGAAATTGTGTAAAATACCAGATCGGTTGGTGAACTTTTCACTGTGTGTAAAGGAAAACTAAGCGAAAATGTTTTGCTTTTTTTTTATTCTTGTTTTTTTTTTTTTTTATTTAATAATTAAAAACAAAATGATAACCCTGAGACAGCAATATTCTAATAATGCGAAATTTGTCTCTAATGTCTGCTTTAATTCCGATATCATTTTAAAAAATAAAAGAACAAATCTAAAAATGCAAAAATTAATTGAAAATTAAAAAAAAAATGACGAATGCCATTAAAAAAATCCCAAGCGTATATGTATATGTTGTTGCATGTGTACAGAAACAGCGGTTATGTTGTGTATAGAAAATCGGTGCACATACATACTTGTTATATTAGTTGTTACTTGAATACTCGTACCGTTTTTATACTATTTAAGGAGTAGTAAGTGAATTTATTGTTTAAAATAATTACTTACATTAAATATTTAAAATCGGAA